ACCCAGCCGCCGCCGGCCCCCGGGACGTGCTCCAGACGGAAAACGTGTCCCCGCCTGCCTGAGGAGAGCAGAAGGCGCGCAGCTGCCTCCCAGGAACAGGGGGAGCCTCTGCTAATACCGTGTCGTTTTAGAAACCATCCCGCATTTAGAACCTCAGAAATGCTACTACAGGATTACTTTATCGTTAATAATAATAATAATTATTATTATTACAAAATAGAAACGTTCCTTTCGGTAGGAACATTTGCAACCCAGCACTACTGATACGTGCAGAAACCAGGCAGGAACATGTAACAGGACATTTCTCTCATCCTGGAGACAAATCACTCAAATATTACTTTAGTCAAACTAACATGGTATTATTTGCAAGGCTATTCTACAGCACATTAGAAGTCAGGATGTTATTCAGACCAGAGAATGCACCGATAAGCTCAATTGACTTCATCAAGATTCAGGATGTTTGTCTGGGATGGTCTGGACATGTCCTGTGGACAAAGACGTTCCTGTTCATTTTTGCTCCTTTGCTCTAATTACCTGCGGTTTCTCTTTATTCCTTGACATCTTTTTCTCTTTCTTCCACGCATTTCTAGCAAGGGCAGATGCTATCTTTGTCCAAACCAATGAAGGAGCCTGCACTCTGGACTTAGCCACAGCCTTCTGCTACCCAGTGTTGCACAGCTAGCTCTTCCTCCATTTTCCCCACACCATGGGATTCTGCTGCCTTGTTTCCATAAATTCCAGTTCTATGTGATTTTTTGTTACCATCCTCATTCCTTGATGCTTTTGTACTCTAACGTGTAGTTCTTTGTAATGCAACCCAGATCCTATGACATGGATATCGCAAAATTACAGTGACAGGAGTAGTGTCTCTGTGTGTGTGTGTGTGTGAGAGAGAGAGAGAGAGAGAGAGAGAGAGAGAGAGAGAGAATGCTGCTTACCCTGGATACTATCATTGTCTTATTTCAGGGAAAGACAAAGACATGACTACCACCAGGCCACCCATGATAGCCTACCAACCCCCCCCCCCCCAAAAAAAAAAACCCAACCACAAAACACCAAACCAACCAAAAACTCCAAAAGAACATATTTCATCTAAATTCTGCAAGTCAGAGAGCAAGAGAGAACTAACTGCATCCTTCTTTCCAGAAGGGTACAGTAATAGGAATTGTGATCTAAACTGTTCAGCGTATGCCAGTCATACCAGGATTACAAAGAAGGCAAAATAAAAATAACTTCATAGCACACACAAAGTACAGTCACAACTTGTTATGTCTGGGCAACCAAGACAAGCCCCCTGTTCTGAAGGTTCAGTAACCTTTAGAAAGCATCTTTCCTTAGTTGTGTGATTCAGTGGATTATGCCAAATTAACTAATCTCAGGAATCTTTCTGTATTTCCATCTTTATGCCGTCACTAATTTTCACTGATCCATCAGTTGAGTCATAGAATAGTTTGGGTTGGAAGGGACCTCTAAAGGTCATCTAGTCCAACCCCCCTGCCATGGGCAGGGACATCTTCAACCAGATCAGGTTGCTCAGAGCCCCGTCCAACCTGACCTTGAATGCTTCCAGGGATGGGGCATCCACCACCTCTCTGGGCAACCTGTGCCACTGTTTCACCACCCTCAGCATAAAACATTTCTTCCTTATGTCTAGTCTGTATCTACCCCCCTTTAGTTTAAAGCCATTCCCTCTTGTCCTGTCGCAACAGGCCCTGATAAAAAGTTTGCCGCCATCTTTTCTATAAGCCCCCTTTAAGCACTGAGAGGCTGCAATAAGGTCTCCCTGAAGCCCTCTCTTCTCTAGGCTGAACAACCCCAACTCTCTCAGCCTTTCTCCATAGGAGAGGTGTTCCATCCCCCTGATCATTTT